TAACTTGTTTAAGTGAATTTTAAGTACTAAAATGCATCAAAATGCAGGATTTTTACTTGGCTTCAATTATTTTTAGGAAAGGTACACTTTCATCTCTGTTACTATGACCTATCCAATATCTTGTCCATTTGGGTGTTTTTCTTTTTCCACAGCCACCTCAGTTGAGCCCATCCTTCCCCTCTTTAACATCATTCGATGGGTTTGCAGTTCTATTACAACTCGCAAGGTTCTATCGCCTTTGGGGATGTGATCTTCCATAGTATTCCTTATCCCCCTAGGTCAGATTCACGTGCGGGCCTTTTCATGGGATCTTCCCAACCAGTGGAATCTCAAAAGGGATCCTTTGTCAGCTCTTATTACCCTTCCTCCTACCCTTGTGGACAATCGGCATTCGTGGCTAGACATGATTCATACGTAGGCAGGTGTCCCACTTCCTTCTCTTCATCCAGATTTACACATCTGTGGACACATCCCTTCAGGAATTGGGGGTGTGGGTTGATGAACAGGAAGATTTGGGGTCTTGGTTTGTGGTCGAGAGGTCTTCTCATATCAACATCCTGGAGCTTCTCACTTTTAAGTCTTATTTTGGTTCTTTTTCTCCATCTGGCCACAAATCGTCTAGTAATGATCCATTCTTCAGTGGTTGCTTTTCTCAATCCCCAGGGCACAGTACCTATTCTCAGTCTGTCAGTATTCATAAGTTGGATCTTTTTTTTGGCCCACATGCTTAATATTCATATCATTGCATGTCATGTTCTGGGTGCTTTCGCTCTTATCGTGGATTGGATTCCTGTCCAGACAAAATCTAGCCAATAGAGTGGTCTCTTGATCCTTTTCTTTTCCAGTGGCATTGACTTCAGTGGGGTACTCCTCACATTGAGGCTTTTGCTATGTCCCTTACCCACAAATTATCTTGGTTTTGGTCTCCATTCCCTTGTCTTCTTGCTCAGGCTATCAATATTTTCAGCCAAGATTGGCTATCCTTTTGTTCTCTTTCTTCTCCAGATGTTTTCGCTCATCCTTGAAATTCCATGTTTACTCCTTCTCTTAGCTCATTCCTGGCCATTTTAGCTGTGGTTTCTGTGGCTTCTCCAGCTCCAACTTCTTCCTCCGTTATCTCTTCTTCTGACTCTATCCCTTCTTCGCCACCCTCAGTCACCGAGATTATGTTGCACTCCTATTGGTGGAGGATTGACACGTTATGATTTGCATGAGAGATGCATTGGAATCGGTCAATTCCAATGAAGGGGGTTGAAAGCTTGTTACATGCATTTTTTTTTCATATAGAGGGCAGCACTGAATGAGAATAGCTATTTATGTAAGAGAAGGTAAGTACCTATTGGAAATACATTTTCAGTATAGGAAAATTATAACTTTGGTATCATTGGTTCTTTTTCACCTCCAGGTTTTGCATTACCTGAGTATTTCCATTCTTAGTCTCTTCATAATTGAAATTGGAGCCAAGCTTTATGCATTTCGATTGGAATTTTTTCATCACAAACTTGAACTTTTTGATGCTGTTATTGTGCTGGTGTCATTTGCTCTTGACATAACCTTCAGAGACAAAGAGTCAGCTGTCAGCGGTGTAGGGCTACTAATCATCCTTCGTTTATGGCGAGTTGCACGTGTGCTGAATGGTAAGCCACAGTCTTCATGTACTTGTGTTTTTCACCATAGAAATAATATATATATATATATATATATATATATATATAGCTATAAACTGTCATATAGTTTTTTAGATACTTTTTTTATATATTGAGAAACAGAACTACTAGACCAGGAATTATGGACATTATTTCGTGCAGTAACAATTATAAATGTATCTATGAACTTATATGCAGGTTGTTTGTTGTGTTTCCCAAACTAACTATGTAGCTCTCTTTCTACTCTTACATCTTTTTTGGGCATGAGACCAATTTTATTTGCAACTATAGATGTGAAGTAGTGTCCAAAATTTTTACAAAATTTCAAACTGATCCTTCACAAAAACTTTTAACTTGTCCTCCAGGGATTGTAACTGGGATTCATGTTAAGTCCCAATTACAAATGTGAGATTTCAAAGAAAGACACAATTGCAAGTATGTATTTTCATGTATATGTAAAATTAAACAAAACAATAGTTTTTGAATATATCACTCTTAGAATGTACATAATATATATATATTAATCCAGATAAACACAAAAAAAAATAATGTGACTTCAAATTACAACCTTAATACTCACCAAAAGGTAAGGTAGTTCTCCATTAAGATGTTAATATTTGTCACACTTCTTTTGGATCGATTGTACCATTCACATGTTCCAGGAACATTGTTTTACCTTCAGACATCATAGGGAATTCTCATAATGTTTAAATGGATCTCCACAAAGCTAGAGGCTACATTTGGATGATTTAATAAAGAAAATACTTTCAAGAGATGAAAACACAACTATGGTTTTATGAAAAAGTATAGAAATGTACATTTGATGACAAGGTAAAACAGAAAAAAATGCTTAGAGCTGAAGCTGACTCTGTTGGGCCGATTATATTATTTTTTTGCTATTAGAGTTGGCCCAAAGGCTTTCTAGCTGGCCATGGCCAATTGAACAACACAAATTTTGGACCCTGGTGTGTATTTTTGTAATGTAACTTAATAAGGTGAGTTGCTTTGCCATAATATTGAAGAATGTGGACATATACAAGACTCAGGGTGAGTTTAAAGAAAACTCCATATTTAAAACGATATTTTAGAATCTGCTGTAATATGGGAATAAAATTTCACCAGAGGTACATTGAGAATTATAAGTTTTACTCAGGAAAGTTGGAACATTGTATAGCGTGTTTAAAAACTCTATTATTCTGGATATGAAATTATTTTTCTCACAAACTAAAATTGCTTTTCTTTCTTGTTTCTCTCTATTTTATCATTGTAAGATTGATGCAGTTTCAGAATAAAATGTGCATCAAGTGCAAAATATTATAAAATTAGTGAACACTGTCCAAAATAAATAATACTTCTATTAGCCTTATTTAGGGTAGGCTTGATGTGCTGATTGAAATGACAGAAAGCATATTAAATGCATCCTTTTTGTGGCATGCCCAAACATTCTGAATTAAACTTATGATTCTTAATCTGCTTATGGTGACTTCAGTTCTCCTAGGACAAGTAGATTTGAAGATAAATCATTTATTCATTTTTTTATAATTACCTTGTGTTATCCTGTGGACATAGTAACTTCCATTAAGTTTAAGAATTGGCTCTATTGTTAAAATACTTTTTTAACAATGAATTTTTACAAAACTATTGTAGTTTTTCACCATTATCGTAAATATGTTTAATTGTTATGTACTGACTGATGCTTTTACAGGAAAAGTGTTTGTGAACATTGGGTTAGAATCTTGTACTGTTTCTTTGTGGAATTTGACATTGTTTGTTTTAGTGATGGATAAAGGAAATGTAAAATCTATGGTCATAACTTACAAAGGCCACCCAAGCAGAAGTACTGTTTCTGGAAAATACTATGTTTTTGGCTTTACTTTATACCAAATTTTTATGCTCATCATTTGTAATAAGTGAATATTCAATAGGAAGTTGTACAGAAAAATATGTGCACTGGTCTCGTTTTAAATTGGACACCTTGTTAAAATTTTACAGGTATATTGCATTAATCACATGCGAGGAAAGAATGTTACACCAGGATAAGAAGGAGTATTAGTATAGTTCTTTCTCACAGAGGTTAATGTATGTTGTATGCTTCCCTTCAGAAGAAAGAATGCAACTGAAAGAGAATTGTTTTTATCTCAAAGAAGTATTTGTAAGTTGAGTGAAAACATTAGTTCTACCAATAATGTAATTTAAGCATCATTCATGAAAAAAAAAGAATATATTACCATTAAGAATGTTATTCAGATTATTTTGATGTTTCTTCAACTGCAGATATTGTTTCATAGGCCTGTACTTTAATATGATTACATATGGCCAAGGCTAATATTTTTATTAATGATTTGAGTAAATATACTTTATATTATAAATAAAACATCACTGTCGATAAAAATCAGCAAGTGTAAAATGACACTAAGGTCATGTGTTTAACCTTAACCATTAAAAAGGCCTGCAGAAACTTCATGAAAATCTTCTAGCCCAGTGGTTTATGGGGTTTATTATCATTTGGGATGGAGCGTGAACTTATCTATATAAATTATGAGGTTCTTTGAAATATTTTGCTCATCTTTTGATGAAGTCATTTCGACAAGGTACCTTACTTCTGCTCACATGCATAATTATTCTCATTCAGTGCTGCCCTCAGTTTCCAAAACATTTTTGCATGCCAAAAGCCTTTCACTCCCAAGCACCCCTCTATTTACATCATTTAACTGACTCTCGCTTACAAATTATCATGTGACAAATCTCTACCAATACTAGTGCCACTCACCCATCTGACTCATTTTATGCTATTCTACCTATCACTTCTCGTTTAGCAGTGCTCATGTTCAGATGTTTAGTTTGTGCTCTCTTCAAGTTTTTTTTTTCTTGTATCTTCATATCAATTTCTCACAATAAGTTTACTATTTATTATACAATAATGATATTTGTAACTTATTCTGAAGTGGAATTATTTTATATTTCTTCCCAGTTATGGAACTTCATTACAACTTTTTTTCTACTTTACATTTCTTTCTGCCAACATGGTTGTGTTTGGTTATTTATTTTGAATTATGAATTCTTTAAGTTACCTCATTGGAGGTTATATCTTCTATCAGCATATTGACAGGTTTCAGGTAGCAGTCTTCTTCTGGGAATTACTGGTTTTACTTCATTGTGAGATTGATTGTCCAATGAGCTGAACTTAATTGGGCCTCTTCTCGAGTTTGGGAGCCCACATATTTTGAAAGATGGTCTGCCAATTTTGGAAAGATGTTATGGTTTTTGAATATTTTTACTATTGATATTATTATCTGTAATTATATGGTTTTTTATTTGTTTGAAGTTAAGCACAAAGTTACACAGTGGGCTGTCTGTGCTCTGCCCACCACGGATATCAAAACCTGTTTTCTATCATTGTAAATCTAGAGACATACTGCTGTGCCACAGGGGTCTAAGTTTAGTTAGATTGGTCAATACTCATAACAAGTTCAGGTTTGAAATTAGAGCTTAGCTGTATCCATTGTCTTATAACGTTAGATTAGGCTTAACATAGGTCTTTGTTATTTTAGGATTACCTGCAATTCATCTTACTGGTATATCATAAGTTAGGTTTACTATATAGTTTTCTTCAAAGCATCATATCTCATAAATATGTTATTGTCAGTACACGCTTAATTTTACAATATAATATTTGTTTCATGTTTGTTATTATTTATGTTTTATACTTCTTCATATTAACTTTGTTTGTGTGGATCCCGGGAGCCAGGGTCTGCACAAACTTCTCCCAATATTGTATGTATTATTCTTAAATTAGGGTTTTTAAATTAGAACTTTGTTCTGTACAGTTTGATTAGGCTTAACAAGTAGGCTTATCTGTAGTTCATCTTATGATGGTCGTGGGTTCGAATCCCTTCCTCACCAAACATGCTCTCCCTTTCAGCCATGGAGGCTTTATAATGTGACGGTCAATTCCATTATTCATTGGTAAAAGAGTACCCTAAGAGTTGGGGGTGGGTATGATGACTAGCTGCCTTCCCTTTAGCCTTTCACTGCTAAATTATGAAAGGCTAGCACAGATAGCCCTCGTGTAGCTTTGTGTGATATTCAAAACAATCAAATCATCTTACAGGTAAATTGATAATTAGGTTAAATATCTTGTTTTCTTCAACACATAACATCTTATACATATGTTTATTTCACAACACACAAACTTAAATTTACATACACCCTTGGAGGCCATTGCCATCCATGTTTCCTTGGGTTGTACCATCACTGTTTGTTCTCTCTACCTGTCTCCTGGAGAGACTTATGATCAATCAGATCTTGATGCTCTTGTTGACCAGTTGCCATCTCCCTTTATAATCGTGGGAGACTTTAATGGGCACAATCCCCTCTGAGGTGGTGCGATATTGATGGGAGGGGTCGTTCCATAGAGCATATGCTCTCGGATCACGACCTCTCTCTCTTTAATACTGGATCTTATACTTATTTTCATGCACCTAGTCAGTTTTTCACTGCCATTGATCTCTCGATTTGCTCCCCTTCACTTTTCTCCCACTTTTCACGGATGGTCAACAGTGACCCATGGGGCAGTGATAATTTTCCTATCCTATGGAGGTTGGCCATAGTCGATGCCACCCAACCAGAGTGCATGGTGTAAGTTGGACCAGGCTGACTGGCCCTCTTTCACTGCTCTTTCCAAACTCGATCCTGCCATCTATAGACGAGTGTGTGGTAGCAGTGACTGACTGTATCGTCTAGGCAGCTGTTCATTTTATTCCTAAGACCTCGACACGTTTTACATGGTATCCTCATCCATGGTGGAGTCCTGGCTGCCAGGAGGCATGGAAGGCTCAAAAATGGGCCTGGGATACCTTCAAACAATACCCCTCTCTCTTTCTGACTGCATAGTTTATCAGTGGGCCCATGCTCAGCAGGTTCGATGTTAAAGCCAAAAGAAGTCTTGGATTAAGTTCACTACTAGCATCTCTTCTACCACCAGTTCCAAA